CCGAGCCGAAGAATAATGCATCTGTAACCAATTATGCGGAGAGGGCCGACGCGAGAAAGAGAGAGCGAGGCGAGAAAGAAAGCAACGAATCGGTGGATACCTGTCAAATTTATTTATTATACCGTCTAAATAATTAATTCCAACTCCACGCTTCCACCAACTAACTAACTAACTAACTGACTACTCTCCTGATCTTTCTAACCATGATCTGATCGAATAAAAATATTTTCAATCGACACGCGGTTTCTCCGAAAATCCAGAATTCCAGATACAATAAAACGTTTCGAAACGCGTGAAGAACGCGTTCCACTTCGAATAAGGTTATTCACATTTCGTTCCCAAACAAGGTTCCCTCGTTGTAATTCCTCAAAAATGTACAATCTCAAATAAAACGAGAGGAAGAGAAGGGAGAAAAAGAGAGAGAGAGAGAGATAAAAGTGGTCCCCTAAATCCGTTTTCACGGCAACCGCATAAGTCAGAAACGATTTTTCTCAAATCCCGGTCTGCTCTCTCGGCGACTACGTTATGACATATATATGGTCCTTAAAGGGGGCCCATTGGTGGGGGTGGAGTGGAGGGAGGGAAGAGAGAGAGAGAGAGAGAGAGAAATAAGGCCCCGAAGGGTCCGTGGTGGCTCGGCGAGTATATGCAGAGAACGCGGTGCACCAGTTATTTATTGTAGCTCCCGTTTATGCTTTATTTGTTATTTGCCCGGTCGGCTGCCTCGACTTGACTGCCAGCCCACGTAGGTGTACGAGCAACCTCTACGAGGGTACCTTATCTACCTTCCAGACATGCGTTACACAGCCGTTGCTCCGCCGAGATGAGCCAGATTCGCATAATTGGCCGCTTAATACGCCGCATTTTTTCCCCCGCCTCTCGTTCCCTCGACCGAACGTGCAACCCCGCCGAACGAACCAACGAACGAATAGAATTTCTTCCTCCTCCGTGTGGAGGATGATTAAAAGCTTCGGCGTGCCGATTTCTTGATCACCGTAACACGCGGTTTAATGAGATTTTCTTGGAAAGGAAGGAGAGGGATACCATGCCGTGGTTGTGCGCGGTGCAAGGGAAACAGAGGGAGGGAGGGATTTCGATTTTTCTCGATAATTTTCGTGATTTCGGATAACGGTGAAAAATGATGGAGGAGAAGAATCGCGACTTTATCGGTTTATTATCAATCGCATCGGTATCGGTTATTGACAAACGATTAAGCTTCGAGCAAACGATATTCGAGAATTGATATTCGCGGTGTCGACGGATACACGGGCGAACGGAGTGGAACGGAGCGCGCGACAAGATCGTAAAGCAGCGGAGAGGGGGCGCAAAGTTGTTCGATTAATGCTTATCGCGCCGCTAACCGTAAGTAACGGACGTAATTTTCGGCGAATGTTCGGCATATTAATGGAACGGATGGAGGATGGACGGGTTGGAACCGGCGAGGAACTGTTAATTGAATTGTATTTAATGCGAATTAATGACCGCCGCGTATCAACGAGGCTGTTAAGCATCCGTCGTAAATGAATGTCGAACAGGTGCAGCTTGGCAAACGTGGTTCACGGATGTCGGCGGTAATTGTTCGAGTCGTAAATTGCTTGTAATTGTTAAAGCCCGTCCGTGCCATTCCACGTAACGCGGCTTCGCTGAAATTTCGATGCGACCATAATCGAAGACGAGCGTACGGGGGCCACCGGGTCGCGGATAATCAATTAAGCTTCGTTTGTGCATCCACGGAATGATGATGGAACATACAACTACTGCGAAACAAGGATCATCTTCGGATCCATCCGTTCCCTTCCCTTACTACGAAACTTTGATCTCTCTCTCTCTCTCTCTCTCTCGATCTTGCGAATTCTTCTCTACGAATCGCATCGTACGCAATTAAACCGATCTTCTCACGTGAAAATTGCGTATCGGTGTTGCGTATGGATTTACATTTGAATTCGATAGAAGAGGATATGAATGTTGTTGATAGAAGAAAGAAACGGCGGAAGCGAATCTGCTCTTGAACGGTCTTGAACAACGTAATAATACGCAAGGTGGTCTTCTCGTTGGGGGAGGTTCAAACGTTAACGTGCCCCGATCTCCGATCGAGTTAAGAGAGCGAAAGGAGAAAAGAGGAGAAGAGTTCGAAGGAGACGTTGAAAGATGGGCCAAGCGAGGACATTGTAGCGAGGATGGTTTGGCAGGGGGATGGCGGGGGGTGGAGGGCGGAGGGTGAAGGGAGGAGGGGGAGGGGGAGGGAGGGAGGGAGGGAGGGTGGGGGGGGGGAGGCGAAGACACCGCGAGAAAGAGAGAATAATGCGTTAAAGCAGCAAGCAGCAACTACTACTCTAATTGGCCACTTTGTCCATTTATTCGATTTATTTAAATTATGGGACAATTGACAGTAGGCATTCTATTTTTTAAATCTCCCCGGCCAACCGGTTGATTGGGCGAGATTGGCGTGAGACACTGGCCCCACAGATTCCCCAGTTGTGGGCTTAATCAGCTTTGATTGCTGCCCTCTCTCTCCCTCCCCCTCTCTCTTTCTCTCTTTCTCCTTACGCCGCCGCCGCCGCCGCCGCTCCCCCTCCCACCTCGCTCTTTCTCTCTCTCCTTCTTTCTCCCGGCCATCTGTCTCGCCGTCTCTGCCTCTGCCTCTCCACACCCTCCCTCCCCCCTCCTCCTTCTCCTCGGCCGACACTCTCTCTCACACTCTCTCTCTCTCGCTCTCTCTCTCTCTTTCTCTCCTCTTTTTTTTCCCCCTTTCTCGCGTCGGGACAAACGCGCACAACTAACAACGACCGACCAACAACGCACAATTTTATTTTATTCGGTTTCAACGCGGATCTCGCGACGAGTTTAATATCGTCCGGGAGCGCGAGACGTTGATTGGCCGATCCGAAATTGTGGGAATGTGTCTCTGGATAACAGAGACACCGAGAGAGGCCGCCCACTCCTCTCTTTCTCTCTCCCCCTTCCTTCGGCACTCCTTTGTCAAACGATTACATATAATTTCCGCTGTCGGTTCTGATTCGTTTCTTCGTTTTCCAACCGAAAACCTCTCGTCGTTGTCGTCGTCGTCGTCGTTGTCGTGGTCGTGGTCGTCTTCGTCGTGGTCGTCGACGAACGAAGAGAGACGCTCGAAACGACGACGGTAAGGAACGATCGAGGGGAGGGGGGCAGAAAGAAAACGAGAAACAGAAGAATCCCCGCGGATCGGATGTGACAAAACAAGAGAGAAAGAGAGAGAGAAAGAGAGAGAGAGAGAGGAGACGAGACGGCGACGCGATAGGTAGACGTTTCGAGCTTGGTGCGCGTATTTATAAACGAGTATCGACGCGATTACGCAACGCAACAGATCCTATCCCCGCGATGTCCTATAATTAATGAAATTCTCATCGAGTCACTGACTCTTCTCGATTCTATAGTCGATCGATCGCGGTGCTTCGTGGCACGATCTAAAATTAACTCGTCGTCGTTTTGTCGTCGTCGAGAACGTCACGAGGACCTCTTTCGCTAGGAGGCACCTCCTCCTCCTCCTCCTCCTCCTCCTTCTCTTTTTTCTTCTCGTCGTGTTGCGTGTAGCTCGTTTAGGAATCTCTTCTGCTCGAATCGATCTGACGTAACCACACCTTTCTCACACACGTTCTTTCGTGAGAGAATGAATCGACGGATAAATTCCAGCGGATCGATGGATCCAGCGCCACGTTCGAACGTTCGAACGATCGGAAATCGACTGGGAAATCTATAAAGAAAGGGAAAAAAAAAAAAAAAAGACATTCGCCCTTCAATTCGCCAATCACGAGGACCACGATATCTCTCCATCGATGACATAATTTTTCGAATGGAACGTATTGAAAGGGGGGAGGGTGGGTGGGGTGTGTATGGGGGACCTGCATGAATCCGTTTCCACGCACGGTCTTCCTCTCTTTCCCGATCGTCGCGACCAGGCACAAACCCCCTTCAGCCCCCTCGTGGGACCCACTTTGCGCTCATCCCATTTCCTTGATAATTCCCATAATGCTGTGGGCGGATATTCCAATAAAGGGGGAAGAGCCCCAGCAGGCCACAAAACGCTGAAAGCATGGGAGGACACGACGACTCGTTTCGTCAGGTTGCGCACGATTTACGACCCGCCTGCAACAACCGATTCGATCGAGTAAATAGAGAAGGCGAGAGACGGTCGCGTCGCGCGGTCCTTCCTCGTTTTCGAGCCGAGACGATGCACGAGACGACGATGCGCGCCTCTGCCACGTGACTTATTCTGGCAATAATCGATAATTGGGCCTCGGATGCGGGACCATTGTCCCCGGATGTCTCGCCGAAGGATTCGAACAATTTGGAAAAAAAAAAAAAGAAACGCAGGCGCGCGCAACTCCTTTCCGAGGAGGCTCGAGAAAATATATATATATATATTACGCGGATCGAAACTCGTGGACCACCTGTTGAGCGATTCATCCCTCCGTGCGAGATAAACGCTCGACGAGGGGAAGCGTTTCTACGAGAGGTTAACAACCTCGTCGTGTCAAAGAAAAAAAAAAGAAAAAGGAAAAAATCGTGAAGAGCGATACTCGCGCGCGCGCGCGCAGCAGCTGTTTTGCTTCCGGGGAAAAAAAAAAAAAGAAAAAAAGGAAAAGAAAAACTCGCGATCCAACAAACTTTTATTGCGCGATGGGTCTCTCTCGAACTCGAAGTCGAACTCGGGTCGATTTCGTACGTGGACGCCGTGCACCGCTCGCGACCCCTTGCCTCTCTGCCCCCCTCCCTCCCTCCCCCCACGAGTCGCCTCGATCGGCCCCCCAACGCCGTGCCTTTTCTCTCGTTTTCCCTCTCGTCGCATCTTCCTTTTTTTTTCCTTTTTTTTCTTTTTTTTTTCTTTTCTTTTTTCATTCCCATACGTCCCTCCCCTTCCTGTCTGCTTGCCGGTTGGCGCAGGGTCGTCGAACGGCGGAGACTCGATTTGAATCTAATTACGATCCCGATAATTCCGTAAGGAGGCGGAAATAGTAACTCACCGGAAACCTTCGGGTCAGCTGCCTCCACCTTCATCGCCGCCAGGCTCGCTATTGTCGGCGGTACCTAAAAGAAAATACATTACGATGTACAATGCACCACCAGCATGCTCAGGGCCGTGCTCGCGATGGGGACGAAAGGGGGCCGCCCACGCAACTCGATGGTGGGACAACGCGCGGAGAAAGAGAGAGAGAGAGAGAGAGAGAAAGAGAGAGTGTGCGCGCCTCTCTATGAATCCGCGCGCGACACGTGTCGTTGAAAAGTTGAATGCCTCCAAATTATCCGGGGCCCCGTTCTCGTCGATCTTTTGGGAAAACGGATCCCTACCCAAAGCGGAGCCTGCGATTTTCTCCGCTTCTCCTCTCTCTCTCTCTCTCTCTCTCTCTCTCTCTCTCTCTCTCTCTCTCTCTGTCCTTAGATCGTATTTGACGTAATAAAATAATAAAATAAATCTTTGAATCGGCCTAAATTGACTCGTCCCGTCCAACCCTTCGTTGTCGCCGAACGAAACTCTCGTTCGCCCCTCGATAAAATCCCCTACAAGGAGAGAAATCGGTGGCGGCCACCAATGTTTCGCTCGTTCATTCGCTCGCTCGCGAGCGCCAAAGAATTCCACCTTTATCGTTAACGACATCCTCTTTTACGCGCCGAGCGGAAACGGCTTCCGGTTCCCCGAAAAAACGTGCGAGTGGACGGAATGGCAAGGTCGTCGACCTTGGCGGTGCAATGTGCAAATGTGTGTCAAGAGCAAGACAAGTTCCGCGCGGGAAAATGCATTTCGACCCGCGTCCTCGATTAACGATTCCTCGTTTCCAACAGGAATTTTAAACAACCTCCTCCCTCCTCCCTTCCCAAACCTTCCTCCTCGATCCATTCGCTTCGAAGCGACTCAATCAACCAACCAATCTCCTCTCGGGGATGATCGAAATCGACGATACATACGAACGAAAGAAGGAAGGAAACGAGAAGAAGAAGAAGAAGAAGAAGAAGATTCTCTGGAGAAGGGGTTCCTCGACGCTCGGCTCGAAAATAAAAGAGGGACGACCGATGGTTGGCCGGAAGCCCCATCGCGGTGCAAATTATTCGAATCCTGTACGATTTCCGAAGCCGTATTCTGCGGTGCCGATCCGCGTGGCGTTTAGTTGCGTGGTTGAATTTATGAAGCGATTGCCACACATCGTTGCGTCGCCGTCTCGCCGTCTTTCTCCTCGTCTTCTCCTCCTACCGATTCCCATTTTCGAGCCAAACCGACCGACCGACGACCGACGGTCGATTTTCCTCTCCTCTCCTCTCCTCTCCCCTCCCTCCTCTCTCCCCCCGCGCCCGCCTGCGCAAGGAACGCGGCTCACGTGCACGACAATCGCGTTCCATCGTTGGTGGAACCGTGGCCACCGATCGGCCATTTATATTCCACGCTCATAATTATCGCCGACCTTCGATGCCCAATATTACGGATCGGCGTGCGGATCGCATGGCAATGCGGCGGAAAGAATGTTTCGCGGCCATTTCCGCGGGAAATCGGCGATCCGCCCGTCGTCCACGGGGGACGAAAATTCTTCTTGCCTATGATTACATAGTCGTCAGTATGCGAAATCTTGACATTATTTTCTTTTCTTGGTTTTTTTCTTTTTTTTTTTTTTTTTTTTTTCGAAAAATATATATAGGAACGCACAGAAATCGATTCGAACATTTTTCTTTCGAGAAATCGTTCGTGAAGTTTCAACAGAATCGATATGGATCGGATTAATATAAGGGGATAAGGATTAATTAGAGTTTCTCGAGACGTTTCGCAGATTCGACGGAGCGGCCTCCTTATCCTTGGATGATTCATGGATAGAGGAGGAATATATGGCCGGCAAACGTGACAGAATTTGACTGTGGACTGTGTACACGGAATCATGGACAGCATGGAAATTTTTCTCGTTCGAGACGCGCTAATCCGTGTCATAAAGCGGAGTCGGTCGTCCCATCCTGTCCTTTAATGGCCGTCACGTTGAAAAGAATATTCAGAGGAGGAGAGAGAAAGAGAGAGAGAGAGAGAGAAAGAGAGAGAGAAGGGACGATAATAACGTCTAACGTACGTACATACGTGGACGGGACGGGAGGTCCCCCGGAAGAAGCGTGCGACTCCCACAAAAGGGAGGAAAGAAGAAAAGGCAAAAAGAATCCAGCAGCCCCCTTTCCACACATTGGAAAGTCAGTACGTGCGCCACAAAGAGGATTTCGATTGCAGAGTAGGCCCCCGCACCGCGTTTCATAGGTAGAGAGAGTCTCGTAGGTAGGTAGGTAGTTCCGAGCGCGAAACTCGATATAAGGAAGAAAGAAGAAGAAGAGAGGAAGCAGCGATCGTAGAAACAAATAGAAAATACCGCGAAGAGGCGCATACGTGTGTGTATGTGTGTGTGTGCACATTGGCTGAAAGGATGACACGACGACGAAGAGGAGAAGAAAGAAGAAGAAGAATAAGAAGAAAGAAGAAGAAGAACAACAACAAGAAGGAAGAAGAAGAAGAAGAAGAAGAAGAAGAAGAAGATCAAGCACGAAAAGAAAGAGCGGAGAATGGAGCGAGAGAAGGAGGAGAGGGTAAAAGAAGAGCGTCTCAGGGCGTAAGAGAGAGGGGAAGGGGAAGAGGTTGGAGGGAGGAGGAGTGCATAGGGGGAGGGCAAAGAGGGAACCGGGAGAGTATAGAGGTATATGAGAAAACAATAGAGCTGATTTGCAAACAATAGAATAACGTTAAGAGTCGAGTATTATACGCCGTTGTTACTTCTTGTGCCATAACGCCGGAGAGCATATGCCCATTAATATTCAAAGGCGAAAATAATGTAAACGACACGACAAAAATCGGGGGAATAATTTCAATTCTCCCCGTATGGGATTCCAGCGTGGCGATACACCGAGCCTCCCGGGCCATTTCGTGTCTCCTCTTCGGCCACGTATACACATGTATATTTAGCTCTCGACGGTTAAAGACTACCAGACTCTGGTGCAAAAGCGAAACCCATCGTGAATTTCCCTCCTTTCGACCTATCGTCCTCCTCTCTCGGACCGACATTTTCTCGAGAAAATCGCCTCGAAAGGGGTGGTGGTCGGCCACGCGGAGAGAGGAGGGGCGACGCTCTCTGAGAGCGTACCGATTTTATCCTCCTCCTCGTTTTCCTTCATTTCGCTACGTACGTATCGAAGGAACAACGCCGGATCTCATTTTCTTGTTCGAGGGTGTGGTTTACGCTATACGTTATGGAAGCGTCTCCGAAAGAGAGGACTGTGGTTGTTCCAAGTTATTGGAATAATACAATACGTACGTATGAAGCGGTTATCGAATGTAGGGTGTGTCGAAGGATGGCGTAGAATGTTAATTGTTCTTTTAGAAAGTTAATTCCCCGATGTGTCTGACGTAATCCCCTCTACCCAAATGTTTTCGCCTGGCAATTTTAAGAATTCTACGTCAGACGTTTTATTAGTCATTGTGAAAATGCAATCGCATTGAAAAAACGCTGGCTTCGATCGACTCCGCCGTTCCGAAACGAATGCCGCGCGAAAATGTTTCAACCGCGCTGAACCGCGGTATGCAATCGAGATCCGAGTCGAAATTTTTATTTACGGGACGGACGACTTTATCGACGGCCGTCGACAAATCGTCCCTTCCCATTCCGCGCCCTTCCCTCCCTTTCCTTCCTTTCCTCCTATATTTCTCCCACATATACACGTACGCGCCGCGTAATGCGAATCGCGAGGGGAAAGGGGATCATTGTTCTCGATTATTTTATGGGAACAATGTCTGAACGAATTAAGGTCAAGAATCAAAGCCGAGATTACCGCCAATATGTACCGTATCGTGGGACAAATTACGATCGGGTTGCGTTCGTTCCAGGAACCCCTGAATTATTCCAGCGCGGATGCGCGTTTCCCGCTGGAATGCGACAGACTTTACGACCCGTCCACGAGTCATCATCGAGCCACCGATGCGATTCTCTCTCCGCCTCTCTCGCTTCTTCTTTCTCCGCCTCGTCGATAACATTCCCCGATTATCGGTCGGGATCGAGTCGGGATGATTTCTTTTGTTTCGAGAAGAAATAAGAAATGCTCGAGGGATCGAGGCGCGAGTAATTTTTACGAACATTTGTCGTTGAAACGCGGAAAAAAAAGAAAGAAAAGAAAAGAAAAGAAGAATTGCGGATGGAAACGAATTATCAACGGAATAACTCCTGATGCTCGTCTCATTGAGTCATCGATGCTGCGCGACGTTATACTATCTTGGACGTGGTTCAGTTTCTCCGAACAACGAACTGCGTGGATTAGCGCGATTTATATTTACACGCGAAGAATTTTCCCGATATATATATATATATATATATATCTAAACACATATAGAAACTAATAAATAAAATTTTGGAGAAAATGGACAGGCTCGATAATTATTCTGAATGATGTTGAATTTCGAGCGCGCGTTATCCGACACCGGGTTTGATCGAGAGAAAGAGGAAGAGAAAAAGAGAGAGAGAGAGAGAAATATGCAACGGGAATAAATTAGTTACGAGATTTGATTTTACAAGGGAAACAGCAATCAACGGAGTCGAGTCAATTAAGGAAAGAGGTTTTAAACCCGCGAACAAGATTTCACGGTGAATTAGTTATCTCGGTATTGCGTCACCGGCCGCCAATAAATCGAGATAATTATTTTCATATAATTGGCACGGCGAGCATGGGATCTTGGCGCTGGTCATTCAAGTGGAAACAAGTTGAACGAAATCCAACCGTTGTAGCAGATGCTCGCGGCATGTTGACAATCCGGTGTTGTCACGTCATCATCAACCGGGCCCGGTGTCCACGAGGTCTACTATAATCGATCTACGTCGCTCGAGTCACGGGTTAAGCTCGATTCACGCGGCCCGGTATAACGAACGGATGAAAACGACCATCGACTATCTTAAAAACTTCTCGAAATTGAACTCGATCCGGACGAAAATAAACACGTTCTCCTTCCCTTTCTATTATTTTATTCCGATCCACTTCGATCCGCATCATCGCACGCACGCTCTTTTTCTATTTATAATTATCAATTGAAAACGTCGTCAACGTCGTCGAGCGAAATCAAAGAGAATCGAAACGATCGATCGATAGTGAGACATTATAGTGTTGAAAATGACTTTTTCATTTTAGAAGAAACGTGATTTTCCCGATTCTCTTTTTTTTTTTTTTTTTTTTTTT